TTGCCCTGTGAAGGAAATGCTGGTTTTGTGAAGTGAGTTCTCATGAGAATGAATTGTTATTTTAAAAATAAAATAAAATAAACAAGGTAGCCCTACCTCGTTCTTGGCTTCCTGTGTAATCATGTGACCACTTCCTCCCACCCCACACCCACGCCCACACCCACCCCCTTATATACACTGCCACCATGATGCCATCATCAATGAGGAACTAAATAGAGGCCAAAAAAATGAGGATAGTGATCTTGGGCTTTCAGTCTAAAAAACCGCGAGCTAGGTAAAACTTCTTTTCTTAATATATTACCCAGTCTCAAGTATTAGTATTAGCAACATAAAATGCACTAATGAAGGAGGCATAGAGAATGGTGTGAGTTCCTAATCTCATTGCATAGGCATATATTTGACAAACAATATCTAAAACTTTAATATAAATCAAGAAACAGTGGTGGCAGCACATTATTTCACTGTCTCGTGATAATAATTTTAAAAATCCCTAATAAACAAAAATGGCTTCTAAGGAACAAACCAAGGAAGTGAAGAGGCAATAAGGAGCACTGCTTTCCTTTCCAAGGGATTATAATCTCTTGTACTGTGTTTTTAAAAATCATAAGAATTCATAATGGGTATGGTGGTACACGCCTATAATTGCAGTACTTGGGAGGCTAAAGCGGGAGGATAGCTGTGAGTTCAAGGCCAGCATGGGCTACATAGTGAGTTCAAGGCCAGTCTCAACTCATAGTGAGACTGTGTCAAACCCCTGCCCCCCAAAATAAATAAATAAATAAAATCATAAGAATTTATTTAAAAAATTGAAAATAAAATGATGGAAACTGAGGAGAAAATATAAGAAATTCGGAAATAAAAAATTTTAATTCTAAAAAAATTCAAACACTTATTTATATGTGCTGAATTTCTTGGATAGAGAGAGAATATCATTGCCAAGGAAACCTAAGTAACTGTTGAGCAGCAAATTCTGCTCTTAAAAACAATCCATAACAATTTATTCTGTAGGATATTATACTCTAGTTTTACAAAAGCCAGTAAAATGGTTTAATGGTTCTTCAAACTTGGCTTATGATGTCACTAACATTTAATAAATATTTGATTCATACAATCTACTACAATAAGACTAGAGTAAAAGTCACCAAGATTCTAGTACCAAATCTTCCATTTAAAAGTTGTAATCCCTTAAGTAAGTCATTTTCCTTTTCTGAGCCTACTTTACTTGTTAAAGTGGGGATGGCTACTATCTACTTACCATACACAGTTACTGCGACTATCAAATGCAGAGCATTGTACAAAGGTTGAGACAAAGGTTCATTAAGTATCAAATTAAGTTAATTATTAGAAAAATATGAACAGAAAGTTCTATATAAACTAGTATTACAAAAATTGGATTGAATGAGGTGGCAGATCCAAGCTGTTGTTCAGGTTGTGTAACTGTATAATTTGTGCTTTTTTGGATCTCTACAATGACATTGCTGAGGTGCTGCATGGGTGTATTTGCAACATATAATGATTTAAAGAGAACTTACTATGTTTCCTGAGCTAACTTTTGCTTGAAAAAAAACTTCTATTATTAAGCGTTTAAGTGTTTAAGTGGCTTAGGTTGAAGTCTTTTATTTCTATGTTCAGGTTTTTAAATAAACTTAACCAACCTTCAACTTTTTATTTCACTCTTTCTTAACACATATCTACATCCTGAGACCAGAGTGTTCTATTTGTTAAAATGCCACTGCCAATTTCTGCTTCCACATTGTTGTCAATAGATAGGAATTTCTACACTTGGCTACTGCTGCTACAGCTGGATAAATAGATGTGCCCTGTGTCCCATCCCACTTCTTAGCTGTCCATTCACCCAGGCCAGTGTTTAATACCTTGAATACATGAATACTTTTAAAAAAAGTTATGATTCGCAATGGGGCAGAAATGGCATATAGTTCTTACATTAAAGAGAATCTGGCTTCTGGCCAGTACAACTTGTCTGTAATTTGACAATGCAAAGAAGCACTGAAAAAGTTGGAAAGAGGTGGGGGCCTTGGTCATAGAGGACAGGAGGACAGCACCCTGTGGGGAGAATTATCTGTATACTTCTTAAAGAAGGAACATTTTGATCTTGCACTCACTGTTCTATCACGGAGATGGATACATTTACTTGTTATAGGCTGATGATGATAAGTGTTTAAGGGAGATCATATCTGGGATCAGTAAGTTTATCAACAGACAAGTTGAAGCTTTGCCAGATTTATTTCTATATGTTCTTTGATTTAACCAGAAAAAATCTAAACCAAAACAAAAAAACCCAGAAACATAATGATTTGAATCCTATGGCTAACACATGGCCTAACATCTTAAGAATGTTCCAAGGGAACTCAGAAAGATACTGTGGATGAGTGGAGTCAACTAAGCAAAAGATGGATAAAACTCATCTTCAATTATAATTTTGTCTTCATATACCTTTCAAAAAATTTCTGTGTATTCTAAGCTACAGCAGAAATAAATGTGTTCACTGTACACATTAAACCTTCCAAAATTTCTATCTTTATCACAGTTCGCCATGTTAGCTAGTCTAAATTTAATTAATTTGGAAAGTTCAAAACAACATTTTTTCCATGAAGACTTTTCAAAGTATCCCAATGCACTGAGGCTAAAATTAATTTTAGTGATCAAGTCAAATAACAAATTATCTCTAGATCAATTTATAACTTATTACATGCCTCATCAAAATCACTAAAGATCAGCAGCATTTGGCAGTTTTTTGAAACTAAATGTATACCAATCAAGTGTTTAACTCAAGTTATCTGTATTAAAAGATCACAAGTGCTGTCAACAAGTAATGGAATAAATGCTACAAGTCTTATTTATTGTTTTATATTTCTGTACTCTGTAAATTCCAGTGCCCTGGATTTAGTCTACCTTACTTACAGTAGCAATCTATGGTAGACACATCTTCATTTCCCAATTTAAAGTATTCTGTATCATTAAGAAACGGACCACTATAGTTATACAATACAGAAGATGCTATTTATTACTAAATAATTAATAAAAATGTTAAAATTTATTTCTATGTTATGGGGACTTATTATTTACTCCCTACACTAAATTTGTGTGCCTTTGTTTTATCTTCATTTCTGTATTTTTGAAGGTCAGGAGGCATGTATCTATTCATCTGTCTTACACAGGTTTTCAGCCAGTACTTTGTATGTAGAAGGCACTTTAAATACAAATTAACAATTCTTTTTATATGTATTCTATCTTCAGTCTTCAATCTTCAGGAGTTCAATCACTCCCTTTGATCTCCTATAAGAACTGACCATCTATAAACTATTTAATTGCTACCAATACTATTCTAGCAATATCTTTTAATGTGCATTCTATAAATATTTCAGTGCATCACTATAGCATGCAGGAATAGCATGGACAATTAATGTGTTAATTCATCCAGCCAAGCTTTTCAAACTCAATCAGGATACTCTTTAAGAAAAATACAGTCAAAATTGGCATCAAAAGTGAATAGAAAGGGTCTTGCTACTCAAAGTGTGGTCCATACACAGTAACGCAGATATTACTTGTACACTTGCTCAGACTGACTCTCAGGCCCCAAAGACCTGGCTTCTCAATCAGAAACTGCATTTTAAGACCCCTTAAATGATCTGCAAGCAATGTAAGGTTTAAAGAAGCAATAGCTAGGCATGATGGTGTAAGCCTGTGATCCCAGCACTTGGGAGGCAGGAGGATTGTTGGGAGTTCAAGGTGAGCCAAACTGAACTACATAATGAGACCCTGTCTCCAAAAAAAGAAGAAAAAAAGCAATGGTTTAGTCTGTAGTGGAATTTGAATGTCTAAGAAATATCAAATATCTCATTATAATTGCTTATTTGTTGATCTTCCTTATCTGTAAACTGAAGGTTTGCTGAAGACAGGAACCCTTCCTATCTTCCTTACACTAGTATTTCAGTGGAGCTTAGAACATTACTCAGTGGTCTTTTTGTTGTTGTTGCATGGATGACTCAACAAAGTGAAAATAAAACCTTTTCAGAAACTAATCATTCAGAAATTCTTTTGTACAACATGATTTCACATACCACCATCCAAACCCTTTAATTCAATATTATTAATTCAGTTTCAAATATGCTGCTTTCTTACTTCAACAAATGTATTTTATGCAGTTGACAAAGCAAAATCTTGGATCATGGTCCTCTGTTGCAGCCTCAAAGGGCCTATTTTACAAATGAGATAGCTGTACTGCATAATTGTGACTCTCATACATAGATCCCATAAACCTGCACGAGGACAGCAGGAGAGCAGAGGAATAAGGAATAAGGGATAAGGAAAAACAACTCTGTATCAGCACAAGCTTACAAAATCTGCAAAAAAGAAAAAACACAAAAAACAAAACGGTTCTTTGGACAGGATAGTTCCAAAAAGTAACTGCCAGCAAGAGGGTGGAAGAAAGAGTTAAGAAAACCCTCTCCTTTCTCAAGAGCAGGTGATACTAGAAAATACCAGGGAGTGGTAAAGACCAGCAACTACCTAGCGACAGAAGCTGGAAACACTCCAGAGCAGCACCAAAGAGGATAGCGGTTAGAAACGCCCAAGAAGGGGACCAGAAACCGATTTCAGCTTTACAGAGAAGGAAGCCAAGGGTAACAGGCAAAGGAAATAGCTCTGTGAGGCTTAGAACTTACGATGGTGATTATTTGTTGAGAATGATGAGTATTTTGGGAGATGACATGGACTGTAAGATAAGAGGATGAGAGGGAGGTAGAGGGGCAACGACTGGATTGAGCGCATTGCAAAAGGAAGCGAACGCAGATGTCTCTGCCCAGCCCAGGCGCGGGAGGGAGGCAGCCCAGGCACAGGTAGGTGGCAACGCCCGGCTCGCCGACCCCCGCGGTGGCCAAAGCCATCTCCTTTGAAGCCTGCGGAGCCCCTGTGGGCACCGGAAAGGGCGGGCTGTGTGTGGGAGGAGGCAGAGGATGCTGGGCTGATCAGGCACCCACCTTGTCCCAACGGAGCCACTGCCCGATGGCCGTGTCTAGCTGAGGGTCCCCGGTGCGGTAGAGGGCGTGGAGCAGGTTGGAGTTCAGGTCTCCTTCAGCGTTTTCAGCCATGGCAGGCAGAGTGTGTGAGCCTGAGGGGCGGACGAGGACTCTGCGTTGGGGGGCCTGGTTGTGTTCACCAGGGTCTGGACGCCCCCTCCTCACTGAAGGGCATCGGACACCAACCACAGGGAGTTAGTGCCAGCTTCCGCCGTAGCTCAGGGAACGGAGAGAAAGCGGATACGGCTGCCTGCTCACCAGTGGGCCAGGTCCGGGTCTCTGGCAAACTGACTGAAACCGGCGTGCAGCTAGAGAACAACAGTCCCAGAGGTCTGGGTCGGGAGCCTCAGACACAGCCGCAGCCGCCGCCGCCCTCACGGCCCCAGGCCCCGCCCTAGAGCCGTGGCCCCGCCCCTTTCCGCCGGCCAATTCCAGTCCCCGAGGCTTGAGGCGCAAGCCCGGGAGCGCGTTCCCGCCGCTTCCACGGCACCGCCAGTTTATGGTTTGCCGGGGTGGCGTGGAGTTGCTGCACGGCTCTTTTTATTTGCTTAATTTGCCTTTCGCCGGGCGTCTTAGCCTCGTTATCATCCCCACACTCCTATGCATTTCCTTTTCTCATCTGCTGGCATGGCCACCGCGAGTGCACACTTCAGCACCCGGTCTCTGCGGGTCTCCAGCGCGCGCTTTAGGGCCCCAGCTTGGTTTTAGGGCACGCGCCTGTCGGGTGTAGGGAAGGTCGGTGACCGCGCGCGGTCTCACGGGAGTTGTAGTTCTTTCCGTTCCTTGGTTCCGCGGAGACAGCAGAACAGAGGACTCCCCAAAGCCCGCGCCCTTTTTTTAGAGGAAGAAACCTCTGCCTCAGGCTGTTTTCTGCCGACAAGCCCTGAACCTGATGTTATGTTGTGCTTTGTGGTCCTGCCAGCAGGCTAATTTAAAAAGGAGTGACATAGAAAAGGAAAGGAACAACCTGTATCCATTTAGTTTTACAGTTGACAAGTTGCGTTCTATCGCTTCAACCATTCTGTGAGGTAAGCAGGTGTGACCCACTCCCATTTTACACAAAAAAGAGGAAACTGACTGAAAAGTGAACCGAATTTTCTAAGAGCCGGCGTTCTTGAGTGATGGAACAAGGGTTTCAAACTCGTCAGAGCTCCTCAGCTGGCAGTTCTTTTTGCTTTGCTACTGCAGTGGATTAGCAGGTAGGGAAAACAGGATGACTCGAAAATAGGTAAGTGGTTAAGGACAATGGTCAGCATTTACCTGTAATATTAATACAAGCGTCATAAGTTACATACAGCAATGACAGTGGAAATACAAAGGAAATAGAAATCGGTTCCCCAGAATAGAAATAATCCCCAATTTCGTCTCATCTCTGCCTCCTCTCTTCATGGAATTAACCCCCTTTCCAGTCTCATAACTGGATGTTCAGGAAATGCTGAGTTCTTACCAGTTCACCACGCGGCCATTCCTGAGTTTGTTAATGTGGCTTTATTATACGGGCTATGATACTAAGTGTCTTACAAGTCTTCTCCGTCAGCTTTTTTGTATAAAGGGCATAATAATATTTACAGCATGGTTGTACTGCAACTTAATAAATGGTTTTAGAAACTTTTGAGGTTCAAAGATAAAAGACATAATAAACATAAAATACTATTTTCTTCCTTTTAAAGTGCCATTTGCCATAATAAAGTACAAACTGCCAAGGTATAAAAGAATTGTGGTGTTAGTTCCTGAAAAATAATGTGGCATTGCTGGAAGCTGCAGTTTTTCTTAATCATTTGAGCGGTTTTTTTTTTTAAATGGTGTCATCAGTTTCTTTAAATCACAGAGGCCTGGGAAACTTGTGTCCAGAAGAGAAATTCATCTTCCATTATCATTACCATTATAGTCCATGATAAATATTAATTTATGCCAAGTATTATGCTAGGACCTGAGGGTACAAGATTGTACATAATTGTTTATGTCAAGAAGCAAAATCTAGCCAGGCATAATGGTGTATGCCCATAATTCTAGTACTCAGGAGGCTGAGGCAAGAGATTACATGTAGCAAGTTGGAGGCTCAGCCTGGGCTATGTAGTGAGATCTTGTATCAAAAAAAAACAAAACAAAGCAAAAAGAAGAAAAATTTGTGTGATGAGAGGATATATGCAATAAAATATAAACAATGATAAATTCTTGCTGTAAAGAACTACTAAATTACATCTGAGATGTTCAATAATAGCATCAGGCAGAAGGGAAGACCTGCACTGGGTTTTCAGGGCAGAAAATAAGTACAGGAAAAGATAGCGGGCATCTCAAGCCAATATTCGACTGGTGCTCAAATCTCCCAAGGAGAATGTTTAAATGTACCAGATATTCCTGGACACTACTCCAGAAATTCTGAATCATTGACATTAGGATAGGGTCTATGTATCTGCATAAAAATGTCTGTTAATTGTGAGGTAGATGGCCATAGCCTGGCACTAGTAGGACCAATGTGTTGGCATCCCCTGGAGCTTATGGAGAAATACAAATTTTCAGATCCTAAACTAGTTCTATCGGATTAGTATCTACATTTTAATAAGATTCAACAATGATATATATTAAAATTTATAAGTATTGGTTTTTATAAGACTATTCTAAGACATATTGCCAAATCAAATAGAACTTTTAGGAGATGGGATATGGGGCAAGTATAGCTGACAGGAGAAATACAAGGTTTAATCAAATACCAGAGTCAAGTCAGCCTTCACTTTTATCCACAAGATCATGCCAGGCATTACCTGGTTACCAGAAATCTTGCCCAGTACATTAGGCTTATTTTTTTAGGTACTGAAGGGTAAACAACAATACCAAGAACTCATCAAATCTAAGAACAATATCTGAGTGTGTCCAGAAGGGGGAGTATAGTAGTTTTCCAAGTCAAGGAAAGCTCAGAAACTTCATTTCTGTTGCAGTTTGCTCAAGGCATTCTGTATTTCTATTTGTTAAATCTGTCAACTCTAATTGTGATTATGTAAGAGAATGTCCTTTTGATTTTCAAAACAGAGACACCTTCTAAGAAATGCATTATCAAGTGATTTTGTCACTGTGTAACATCATAGAGTGGCCACAGCTAAAATCTATGGGACCACTACTGCATATAGCATTTTATTTCAATTCATAATGTCAACTGCTATATGCAGTAGCACACACTGAATGGCACATTTCAGTTTTTTTTTTAAATTTTATTTTGAAAGTAGTAAGAACAAGACAGAATAAAGTAGTAGAACAAGACAGAATAAAGCCAACTAAGATCATACAGTAAATTGGTATGGTACCGAACTTCACAGCAGGTTACTGGGATAACAGTAATAAGTATCACAGTATATTTTGTTATCTTTACAATAGTTGTTTTTTCAATCATGTATATCAAAATAAAATGAAATACAGAACATTATAAACTTGTCAAAACAAAATATTGAATAGAGCAGTACCATTAATCAGAATAGAGCAAAACAGTAATAATATTTGTCTTCAAAGAGGTAGTAGAAGGAAACCTCCCAGGAGATGCTCAGATTTCTGGTTCCCATTTGCTAATGGGGGGACAGGAGAAGCGGGGTAGGGGAAGTGGGATGTTTGACTCTAGGCCATGCACCAGTAGGTTCATTATTGCTTAGCAGGGAGGCAGGCTGGTTGCTTGGTTTCCCAGCTTCGTAAGGATCTCAGAAGACACTGGTGGTTCTCTCCCTGGAAGGGCCGCAGTCTGCCACACCGCCGCTGCTTACCCAGCAGTTCAGTTTGATCCAAATATGTGGTACATGACAGTATAATAAATTTATTATAATTTATATGTGTTCAATATGTATAACCTATTATCATATAGGTAAACATATATCCGGTTAACTTTCTATTGCTGTGACAAAATACCTGAGATAAATCCACTGAATAAAAGAAAAGGTTAGCCAAGCATGGTGGCACATGCCTGTAACCCAAGCATTTGAGAAGCTGAGGCAGGGAGATTTTTGTGACTTCATGGCCAGCCTGAACTGCATTTTCTGTCTCAAACAGAAAATAAAAAAGAGAAAAGATTTATTTCAGTTCATAATGTCAAAGGTTCCAGTCCATGATTGGTTTGGCTTTGCTGCTTTTGGGCCTGTGGCAAGGTACCATATCATAGTGCGAAGCTCTGTAGAGTTGCTCACTTCATGGTAGTTAAGAAACAAAGGAGACCGAGATAGGAGAGCTCAGGTTCTCAATATCCCCTTCCAGGACAGGATACATTCTCAGTGACCTCACTTCCTTCTATTAGACTTCACTTCACAAAGGTCCTACCATCCTGCATTAGAGCCACAGGCTTGGAACCAAGCCTTCAATATATGAATTTTTGGTGAATACTTAAGATATAAACTGTGGATGTAGGTTTATATATTATATTAACATATACAAAATATGTGTGATGGAATTAATATTTTAGTATCACATATTTATATAACTTACTCTCAAATGGTCCAGAAAGTATACAAGTATTTATTATGTTTATATATAAACATACATACTATATCATTAGATAAGTAATAAATGGCAACATAAATAGGGAAAATGTTAGCAATAGGTGAATCTAGGGAGCTCCAGTGGCACACTCGGTTAGCAAGTGATACTTATACAACAGGTTTATCTGGGAAAAGTATATTATAGATATTCTTAGTATTATTTCACTTTTGTAACTTTGAAATTATTTACAAATGAAAATGCATAAGCCAAGTGTGGTAGCACATACCTGTAATCCCTGCTACTTGAACAGTTGAAGTAGGAGGGTCGCAAGTTCAAGGCTACCCTGGGCAATTTATTGAGCTGATATCTCAAAATTAAAAAATAAAAAAGGCTGGGCATGTAGTTTAGTAGTAGCATGCCCTGGTTTCCATTCCCACTTCTTAGGGAAAAAATATAACAGAAAAATGTAAAATATGTAAAAAAATATGTTTCTTTATTATTTTAAAAATATTGAATTGGAACATGCCAGTAATCCCTGTACTCTAGGAGGCTGAGGCAGGAGTACTGCAAATTCAAGACCAATCTGAGTGACTTAGACTTTGTCTCCAAATTTGGAAAATTGAAAAAAGGGCTGGGAATGGAGCTCAATGTGAAGGCCTGCGTTCAATCCAGTACTAGATAGAAAAAAAAATCTCATTCAGTTATGGTAGCAAAAAACATCTTTAAAATCACTATCAGAGGGTCCCCTCTTCTGTCTTTATATGTTACTGAGAAAAAGAAAGTGTGTAGTTCTAGTTCATCAAGCTTTCTGCTAACATCTGCATCGAAGTTTGTCACTTTCCCTTACTTATAAGAAATTATGAATAAACTTGGATAAGACTATGAATGTCAAAACATCTGTTTAGATTTATTACATAGCCTTCTCCTCTAAAATCCTGAAATTCTTTGAACTCCTGCCACCAGGTAGAGCCCAGTGACTCTTATCGTTTTAAATCTTGAGGAAATACTCATTCTTTTCTGTGTTAAATCTTGAAAAAAACTAAGTGTTTTCTTATTCACAAAAGTAGTCGTCATAAACTATGAGAGCGTCTGTAGAGAAAAGGAAATACCTTACAACTTTCTACTTTTAACCCTATTAAATGAAACCTCCTTGGAGGCAAGAATATAGAAGAATGAATAAAAAGTAAATATCTTTGTATAAGGAAGAAAGGATGTGGAATA